CGTGTCGCTGGATCCTCGCGTTCACCGACCGCGTTGCGTGGCCGCCGTCTCGAAAAAAGTTTTTGTTTTTTTCTGGTCTTTTCGTTTCCTTCGCGTTTTCGAGGCTTTTGGCTTTTTCTATTCGTTTCGCGATCGCGCGCCCGCGACTTCCGCGTTTTCCCGCGTGGTGGTTCTAGACTGTCTCCCGTGTGTGGTGGTGGAGTGGCTAATGAACAGACTGTGTGTATCGTGGACCATGGTGACTGAATGTGGTATTACCCGTTTGCAGATGCGCATCGCGTCCTGGTGAGAAGTCCGCAGCCGTCAGAGAACGCCGGCGAAGCAGAAGCAGCAGCAGCAGCCGTAGTCATAGCAGCAGCCCCGCCGGCGGCAGCAGCCCGAGCCGAAGAAGGCGCAGCAGACGCGGCCGCAATCGCAGCAGCAGCAGCAGCGCGAGCCCTGAGCAGCGCCGCCGCGCCCGCACGAGGCCCGCGGGCCCAGCTCTGGCGGCCGATCTAGCGGCGAGGGAGGAAGAAGAAGGCGGAGGCGAAGGAGGAGGCGAGGGCGAGGAGTTTCGGCAGCACCACTACGACGCCGAGGCCGCGGGGCCGGCGGCAGGCACCGCCAAAACGCGGCAGAAGGCGAAGCACGTGAAGCGGCTGTCGTGGGACGAGGAGCGGGCAGCCGCCAGCGCCGTCGCCGCAGCCGCCGCCACCGACGCCACCGCAGCAGCCATGCAGCACTGCGTGGGCTCCCCGCAGCAGTTCTGCTTGCGCTGGAACAATTACCAGAGCAATTTGACCAACGTGTTCGACCAGCTGTTGCAGAGCGAGAGTTTTGTTGATGTGACGCTCGCGTGCGACGGACACTCCGTCAAGGCGCACAAGATGGTACTGTCGGCGTGCTCGCCGTACTTCCAGAGCCTTTTCTTTGACAACCCTTGCCAACATCCTATCGTCATTCTCAAAGACATCAAGTGGCCCGAGCTGAAAGCGGTCGTGGAGTTTATGTACAAGGGAGAAATCAACGTGTCTCAAGAGCAGATCGGCCCTCTGTTGAGGGTGGCCGAGAGCCTGAAGATCCGAGGGCTGGCGGACGTGAACGGAGAGCAAGAGGGTGGAGGCGGGCGAGAAGGCGGCGGAGGCAGCAGCAGCAACAACAGCAGCGCCACGCCGTCCGACTCGAAGAAGGGCTGGGACGCGCGCGTGGCGCACGACCTGTCGGAGGCGGCCATGTGCCCGTCCCCGTCGCCGGGCCAGGGCGGCCCGAACCAGCAGGCGCGCCTGCTGGACGGCATGCACCGCCAGAAGAAGCGGCGCCGCACCTCGGGCGAGCGCTCGTCCGTGAGCAGCCCGGAGGAGAGCATGGCAGCGGACGCGCTGGAGGCCGCCGCCGCCGCCGCGGCCGCCGCCCGGCGCGCGGGGCCTCGGACCTGGGCTCTCCGCCGCCCGCGGGGCCCGGCTCCAGCGGGCCGCGACCTCCGGCCGCGCGGCCGCAAGCTGCCGCCGCGGCCCCGCCCCCGCAGCCATGGTGAACTCGCAGCAAGACGCCCGGAAGGAGGCGTGCCAACTCCCCCGCAGAACCACCACGGCGGGCCGCCGCCACCCGCCGCCGCCGGGCCCCCCGGCTCGCACGGCGGGCCCGCGTCGCGCTGCCGCCGCCGCGGCCGCGGGGATGATGGCGGGCCCGATGTCGGGCGAGCCCGGGAGCCTGGGGCTACCGCCGCCGCCCTCGCACCCTGCCGAGGACATCGACATCAAACCTGGCATCGCGGAGATGATACGCGAGGAGGAGCGGGTGAGTACGCGGGCGCCCCCCGCGCCACGTTTTTATTCTTTGCCCCGGTCCTTCTCTTGAATGTTACGCAAGCCAAGTTTTGTAACACGCCTTTAAAATATTACGTAGAGGAATAATGGTTGTGAAACATGATGTTTTTTACCCACAAATCACAATTTATTCTGACATTTTCTCGATCTCAAAAAAGGGTACTTAATTTTCTTGATTGTAGCAATGGAAATGCAGATATTAGCTTCGGGAGGTCGTGTCTACATTGTCGCAGGCAACCTAAATTTCTAAGGAATCATTTGCTGTCATAATATTTGATGGAATGTCGTTCCAGTGGAATGCGCTGCCCATAAATAAAGACATTATCTTGTTCAATTTCAGTGCCTCAATGCGCAAGTTACAAGTTCCTTTGGCTTTCTTGAACGACGCTAATGAGCGGGTAATCATTACACTTTCGATTACTTGGCGAGTAAGCAAATGTAAACGGCAGCGATGACAACTACCGCCCAGATAGCGGTGTGAGAACGGGCCCGTGAAATTGCATGTCTACGCGTCAAAGCGCGACAAACCACACCACTCGTCGGCACGCTACTAGTCTCCGGCCGGCGGAACAAGCCGATTGCATTCGCCCTCCGTCTCGGCCGCCGCCGCCGCCGCCGCTGTCGGCGTCTGGCCGGTCGTCTGTCGCCGCAACGCTGGAGCCCGCAGACGCCGGCGACTGCGTCACGGTCGCCCCCTTTTTTAAAAAAACATAAAAAAAAATAATTCCCGCCTCTGTTTGCGCGCGAATCTTATCACCGGCGCGCGTTCGGGGGGAGGTGGCCGGCGCGGCGGCTGGCCTCGTTGACGCACGCGGGGTGGGCGAGGAGAGGCGCGGCCGCGGCGTCGCCGCCTCGCACGTCTCGCCGGGACGCGTCGCGCTTATCTCTTCCCGGTGGGCCGCGGCCCGTTTTATAGGCGCGTGGCACCCGGCGGGCGCGCGCTCGCGCTCGCTTCCGCCCCCTGGCTCGTGTCACGCCGTCGCCGTCCGGCTCCA